AAATTTATAACATTCTTAAAACTTCATTTTTTATCTAAAATACTTAAGTACTAATTTTATTTTTTACTAAGATCTATCTTTGCAGAAACATTATTTTTTTTTAATTGAGCTTTCATTACTTCTATCATAGGTTTATACTTGCAATGTATCTTTAAATCCCTCAATGGTAAATGAATTCCCTATCATGATCTCATTTAAATCTTTGTACACAGCATTCTGTTATTTCACGATGTTTGTTCTACATTTTACTGACTTTCTATGATTTTATATTTCTTATTGCCGATTTTAATTCATTCTTTTTTAATTTATTTATTAACAGATTTTGATCTGTATTTTATTTTAAACTATGGTTAATTAAAGAGGAATCTCTTACCACATATTTTAACAATAATTAGTAGTAACAATACGATAGTTACTTTATATTCAGCAAGAAATATTCTTCACATTACTGAGACATACTTTTTTTTTTTATTGTATTTTTGATTTTTGCGTACAAAATGTTCGAAGAACGTTAATCTCGGTTGACTGTCAAAGTTTTCGATTCTATCGCGTTCATCAAAGCGGCCGTGACGCGCATTTCTTCCTGTATGTTTTTGAATTTCAGATTAATGTCGTGCGTAGCTTTTTCAATGTCTTGCAAATTCTGTAACAAATCCAAGCAAGATATCTCTTCAGCGAAATCGATGAAATTTAATTGCTATTCCGTGCGAAATTTCGTGTAACCTAACCGTCCTTATGCTCTTGTAAATCGCCATTTCTTGTTCCTCTGTCAGTGGCTCGCTATAAGACGGTATGGATGATGAGAATGACGTATTTGCCATAATATCGAGCACTGACGAGCGCTCACTTTAATTAACTAAATGTTTCGAAAAATACACCTCGTCCTGTCATTCACATTCAATTTTCAGTTTGGAATATGTTTTTTTCTTTCTTGACGCTACCTGTTGATTTTCGTTACGTTCGAAAAACAATACTACATAAGCCGTGTTCCGATATACTCTGACAGTACTGAAATCTATAGTTTATGTCACGTATATTATAGATTTTCAGTGCTGGCAATGAATATCGGAACGCAGTCTTGTATGCCATAGCTTTGGCATCTTATTTTTTAAATATATCGCGCGCATACGAAAATACTATAGCATATGCAATATAAATTACATTTTTATATTTCAATAATTTCATTTATAGCAGCGTTTAGTATGCAATTTAATCCGATGTGACCATATGAGAATGCGGGTGACCTCATTATTAATTATCTTTATGCTAAAACCACGAAATTTGAATATTAAATAAATAAACTCCTACAAGACAAATCTTATTTTCTAAAAAGTAAATGTTCTTTTCTGCTCTCTTCGTTCTGCAATCATATTATTTAATAAAAAGATGTATAGGTTTCATACATATTATAATTAATATAGTAGGAAGTACAGGGAAAAGCGAGTCGCAAGTTTGACAGCTTGTAAAAGAAGAAAAAATTCACGGTTTTCTGATTTAAAAAACC